CAGAGACCATATTGGAACTGTTGCTCGTCTTTGACTACCTTCTAACTCACCAGCAGCATAGAGATATCTCACGTTTTTTGAAGAGTCGAGTCTCTTTTCTTTAAAGCCAACAGGTCTTGAATAAGAAGTTGAACTCTTTGCGTCAACCGCCTTTTCTTTGATTGCGTCAATTAGTTTCTTTCCAGTCAATCTTGTCTCCTCACTATTCAATGCTGAAACAACTTCTGGAAGCCTTTTCACCCATTCTGTTGATCTCTTTTTGTCTTCGAAGTTTATCTCTTGGCCGGATTGGAAAGTAAAAAGACGCTCACTCAAAGTTCGATTAAATCGCCCAACTATCCCTTGATCTCTATGAACGTTTACATTTCCTCTTCTTATTCTCACATCATGCTTTGCCGTCTCTTTAGTCGTTTCACCCATAAATTCACGTCCAGGATCAACCTGAGGAACTTTACGCCATCTCAATAATAATCTCTTGTAGTTTTTCTGGAAAGCCTTTGAGACCTCAGAGGAATCTTTTGAGGTGAGAGGTTCAGCAGCCTTGAATCTGCTCGCAACATCGACCACTGTCGATGCATATTTATAGACCCTTCTTCCTCTAGGAAGTCTGTCATGAGGAAGGAAAATAAGATCAGCTCGATGAACTGTGTTTGAAGATTCAACGTGAAAACTTGGTCGTGGGATATGCTTTGGGGTAGGCAAATGAATCTGCCAGATGGCCTGCTTCATGAGCCAAAGCCTTGCAACATCTTCAGGAACTCCAGCTTCCTTTACCAACTTCTTCACTGCATCTAATCCCTTCCAAAATCCTTTCGGGCTATAGTAAACTCTTGAAACTTTTTTTTTTCCATTTTCTATTGCGTTCTCAAAAAACGACTTGCTACCAATCCCAAAGCCAAAGCCATTCTTCCGACGTAGATCTTTTCACCTTCTTTGTGTTGTGTACTCGGCTTGTAGAAGGTAGAAAAATGTGGCTCTTCTACATCAAGCTCTTCATTATGTGCCTTATTGTAAGGCTGTAAAGCCTAATCTGTATCAAGAAAATTTTGTTTTCCCTATTTTTTGATTTGGTCGTTTTCTGCAATCCAATCGAGGAGCTTTGTTAGACTGTCAGTGTATATGAAAAGAAGCTTTGCACAATCTCCACATTTCTCTTTGATGTAGTTATAGTGGACGTCATACATCAAAGTCTTGCTGATATCAATAGGAGCCATTCCACAGTAAACTGGCTTGTCAAACCTTATTGATGTTCTCCCCATATGGATTGCAATGAGATTTTCGTTAAATAGTATGCAGTGCTCAAAGTTTGGTTTCGCTGAAAGCTTTTTTGCTTTCTTTCGATTGTTGACTAACCTCGCATCAACTCGATTCCTGATGTTTTCCATTGTTTGTCCAAAGACAGAGTTATTCATCAACTTGAAGAAATCCTTTTCAAATTCGTTCTTTTCACTCGCGCGCAGGTTTGTGTTGAGCTCGATATAACTTCTCAGGCAGGGTTCTTCTTCAAATTTGATTCTTCTGTGAATATTTTTCAACCTTAAACCCTACGCAAGATTTGAAACTCTTGTGCTCGATATAACTTTTCAGCCAGGGTTCTCCTCCAAATTTGATTCCTCTGTGAATATTTTTCAACCATAAACCCAACGCAAGGTTTGAGATTCTTGTGATGAATGATATATCTCTCCTTATCATTCAGATTTGGCACAAGTTTCTCGACTAGGGCTCTTCCCGCGCTNTGTGTGCGTGCCAAAGTGAGCACCGTCCAGGTGACTTGTGATCCACTAGAAATCTTAGGTACTTTAGAACTGAAGAAATGGAACCATCCAAAACAAGAGGGAGTCTACATTCAGTAGAGATGGATGACAAAAAATTATTGTTGCTGTTTAAATTAAATATTCCACACGAGACATGATATGATGCCAACTGGGCCCGCCATTTTGGACGTGAGAGTATTAGGACTGGACCAAGTTTCCATTCCTCCCACTATTCAAGCGTAAACGTTTGTGTCCTTATCAAGTATTAAACGTATAGCGATAGTAAGTTCCAGGATAATTCTACGATGGCGCTTTGTTCCCTTGGAGGAGTAATTGATCAATGCGGTGCCGCATTATGGGCTCTGTGTGAAACAGGAATGACTCCTTTGTTGTCTTGCGATAATGACATAACTAATTGCTTAAAACACAAGTACAAGGGTTCAGGTGAGTCTGGGGCGAGAGGAAGAACTGGTGATACCAAAGCTGCAAGTTACAATTAATAAAAAAATATACGAAAGGGCTCATACATGCCCATAAATGAAGCAAATGGCTTTTTTAGTGCCACTCTCGCTAAAAGCAGTCCTCTCAACTTCCCGTGAAAAAAAAAAAATTACTTAGTTTTTTTTCCTATGAAAAGAGTTTCGGACACATGTTTCAAAATAGTTTGATGGCTTTCCAATTTTCTTCTATATGAAGATTTCAACTATCGCGATCTCTCTGCCAAGGGAAAATTTGCTAAGGTGTTACAAAAGCAAAAAACTCAGTCATTGTGCGAGTTTTTCCGACGTTATAATTGAAGGTGGTGCTAATCGTAAGGCACCGAGTTATGATCCTTTTTTACAGTAAGCAAATTCCTGCGATTGCCGCAAGGGATGGTCAACAGACCCGCGTTACTCAAAACTCAGTGAAGGTTGCGTGACTCCTCGACTTTGTCCAGTCCTCTCACTCTCACGTCTAATATGGTGGGTCAGTCGATACAGCAACAATCGTATCTCGAGGTGTGGCATGGCGCGTTTCATATGAACTGCTACACAAAATATTTGTTATCCAGTTCTCCTAACTGTGGATTTCTTATTAACTCCCGAATTATTTGATTTATTCAGCTCTAACGTACTAGAGAAATCGGATGGATCACAAGTCATCTGGACGCTACACACTACAACCTGTATGCATCACCCCGCTGTTTTACTGATGCCATCGTGCGTATTTACAAAAGCCAGCAAGGCTATCAAAAGTTTAACCATAAATCTTCTGTTAACGGTCGTTTTCATTAAGCTAACTTCATATTGCGTCAAAAAATGGGCCTGACAAAATATAGAGACTTTGCATGCTTGTGAGTATAGTCTATATGGAGATATGAGCTGAAAAAATATAAATCAAAGGAAATTGAAGCATCTTTAACAAATGTTGTCATATCGAGTTCAGAACATCATCATTTGAGCTCTATGATGGGTACTAGGTTTTCAAAGAAAAAAATCACCTTTATTTTGCTAAACCGTTAGTTGTTTGTAGTGCTAATTAGAGGCCTTCTTAGAGTATTTATATGCTCTGAGACGAGGTATTTCTAGATAATGAGATTGATTTTTCTCACTGATTTTGATAAATGGGTCACATGTCNAGAGAGAGGGAGGGAGGGAGAGAGAGGGAGGGAGAGAGAGGGAGGGAGTGAGAGAGGAAGAGGGTGAGGGAGGGAGAGAGAGACGAAGATAAAAATTAATTAGTGGCAATTGAAGAGCAGTAAATAGTTTAGGGAGCGATGAAACAACTGCTTGGCCGTATTTTTCACAATGAATGATTAAGAAGTAAATAGTAACATAATAATCTAACTAGAGAAAGGTCTAGGCAAAAGACGGCGTAGCGCTAAGTTTCTCACGCAATGGAGAAGAAAAATCAAGAGACCCGCCCAGATAAATATGCTTGCAATTAGCTTGAGAACTACTTTATCCTACATGTCCACAACCTGTACAGAATGGAGATGTTTCCATATCCCTTTCCCTTCCTTTGTTTTTTTTTTTTTTTTTTTTTTGCAAACAAGAATGCTACACTCCGACTATGGTCAATTTTCCGCTTGGAGACAGTACTCCTTTTTTTTCCTCATGGGGCAGGGGCTCAACTTGTATTTTTTTGAACTTCTGCATTTGAGAAAATGGGGATAATATATAGACGATTATAGAATAAGGATTGAACTCATACATGTTTTAGAGAGAGTATCTTTTAAAGCTTGTTCAATTCAAATGTTTGACCTGATTGGTATAGCAAATCAAATGACACACCACCGAACAATTCGCAACCGGCATTTACCTTAAATGCCGACTTAAACTCTCTTACGGAGAAGGCTTACAAAATTCAGCTATAATAGGGATATAAACACTAAACACTAAATAACTTTAAAGGCTTTAGTTCGTTAATGAAACGATAAAATATCTTACAGCTTGAATTCCTCTATCGTAGAGTTGATCAACCAATAAAGACGGGAGATAAATGAGAGGAGAGTAAGAATAGTCGTTGTCCAAGAAAATTTTGTCGTTGCCAAAAGACAGGGAGAATCTTTGTTTGAGTTTTGCCATCTTCAATTTGTTGGCCTGAGTGGCAGACTGGCCTTCATATTCTTTAATAGATTGCTCTTTTCCCTTCCTTAGAATGTCAAAACTTCCAAAGCCTGACAAGTATCACCAGGTGGGTGACCTACAACCACGCCAATAATATTTGTGACAGTGGTTTCTATGGCTGGTATCGCTTTCAAGGTTCAGCAGGAACCAGAATGGCCACTTCGTGTCCGCCTACGCACAGATGTGACACGTATGCAACCGGTTGGTTAAATGGTGGACACCCATCAGTGTCTGATGGTCAGGTCAGTAGACTGGTCTGCTTTCACTGGAGCTCAAACTGCTGCTATTGGTCACACTACATCAAAGTGAGAAACTGTGGCGCTTTCTACGTTTATCACATCACTGGTACACCAAATGGTTATTGTCAGCTTCGTTACTGCAGCACCCCTTAATACTTATCGTGCTCAAACCTCTATATCACTAAAGTAACAATTAAATGTAAGCCTAAGATCACCGAGCTGATAATAAAACGTATCCCGACTTACTCCTGCCTGACTTTACTTCTTCTCAATAAGGAAATAAATGGTTCTTAGAGATACAGTGGTGTATTTTTTCTTCTCGGTTTGTTATCAAGGGT